AAGTGTCTTATAATCATTTAAATTAATATCCACGATTGTTGTTAAATTTTACTTGTACTGTATAATTTAAAGGGGAAAAAAATGAGTCAAAAACAACTGTTTTTAAAAGCTTTTTATAAACCTCTAAACCTACCTGCTTCTTTCTAGGAATGCAAAAGATATAAGGCCGTGAACTTCAGTCCAGAGTTTGCAAACATTTCCAAATTATTTCTACAAATAACATATCTGACTTTTAGCATTTAACTGGAGTTTAGAAAATTAAGAGTTTCAAAAACTATTAAAACAAAATTATAATGGCATTTTCTTCATATCAATGCCAATCAAAAACATGGGCTTGCTAAGCAATAGCCAACTGGTTTGAGTATTCCTAATACATGCTACAAGCTTCAATGAAATAGTCAAATATGTATCACTTTCCTTGATTAAGTTATATAAGGACTGTTCAGCCGAAGCATGAATGAATTACTGGTGTTTTTTAAAAATGTTAAGAACAAATCCCAAGAACTAGAAAACTCAGTATTGTCTTTTAAATGAATAATGTCTTAATATTCATACATCTCACTCCAACAGTCTCTTTAATTTCTTTACTTCATTTATTGAAGGAAAACCAGCAGCAGAGAGGTAGAGAAGAGGGAGAAAATCAGAGTGGGAGAATTTGGCGGGGCGGGGGGACTTTTGTTCATTTACAACAAATGCTTTTCAAAGTTTAAGATTATTTTAATTTAAAGAAGGTATTAACAGAGTGGAAGAGAGGTGGAGTGGTATACAAATACATTTGTCTACTAAATGCCACCTCCTGTCAGCCCTTTTTAAGCATCATCCTTACCATATATGACTCATAAATAATAAAAACAAACTCAGAGACTGATTCCCAAATGCTTTTATCATAAAGAGGAAAGCCAGTGATAAAACAAGAAAATGAATCCCATTATTTTTATTTTTTCTGAAATATCACTATTAAGTTTTGAATTCACTTATAAGATTCTGAAATGAAATAAATTAGAAAAAAGATAAGCATAAAAAGGACATCTGAATTCTCAATCTCAAATTTTTTGATTTTCATAAATCTTAAGTCCTAAAATAAATTATAAAAAAAAATTGCTTGAAGATTTTCATGGTTTAATACAGAAAATTAAATGCTGTTGATACTTATTAAAATATTAATGTCCCTTAATATCATCAACCACTTTACTTTCATTAAAATATAATTACTATATCTCAAACATAAGCATTTAAAAATTCAACTTTTTCATTTGAAACCTTTAATAACACAAGATTTTTTGGGGGGGAGGGGTGTGGGTGTCTTTTTGAGACAGGGTCTCCCTGTAGCCCCAGCTGGCCTGGAACTCACTATGTAGACCAGGCTGGCCTTGAACCCGCCTCTGCCTCCCAAGTGCTGGGATTAAAGGTGTGCATCACCACATCCGGCCATTTCACAAGATTTTTACCTGCTTCTTTAATTTTCCTAATAGGTAAAGTATACAAACTAATGACTATATTTATCAAATATATGTTTATATATCATATAGTATATGGTATATGTAATACAAAATTTACATATTAAAAATTATAAATATGAAGTTTAATTATTTTAAAAGTATGACTAGCTGAAGCAGTATTTTCAAACTATACTTGATAAAAATCTGGAGGTTTTATTTTGCAAGAATGTAGACAGAGTGAAAGGTCTTGGACACATTAGGTAAACACTTTGGCATCTGAACTCATCCTAAACCCTGTTTATTTTTAAGTATATGTATAGATACATTAAAAAAAAACCATTTTTTAAAAAGGCACAGTTTACCTTCCTTATTCTCTGGTACAATTCAATGATAAATTACTCACTAGTTTAATGAGCTTCAATTTTTAAAATTCCCACAAATAAAACAAAATTTAACGTTCACAATTTCTAGTCTAAAAATGGAGGACTGTATAGGAACTATTCATCCTCAAGTCCTCCAAGCGAGGATGACTAGACCTTTCAGCTAATGCTCAAAAATATTTACTAAACTCAATTGTGATTTATGATTAGTTACAACCTAATACCATAGAATGAATCTGGACTCATCAAAGATTTGAGGCATTTGAACCACTGAAGTATGTACTGATTAGCTACAAAAAGCCAACTAATTTTAACTGAGGCTAAAACTTAGCACTATGAGAGGGATAGCAAAGTCACCAGCTTCTATACCATCTCCAACTATCATTACATTCTTAGCAACAGTGCTGGAAGCTTTATCTGCCATCTACCCATACACAAAACAAGCAATGAATGAACACTGAGCAAAAATAATATTGGCACTCATTAACTTATAAATTAAAAGATGGAACAAATTGTTAAACAAAGATCTACAAAGAGCTGCTCAGAGGAATGCCGTTCTTAAAACCACCCCTCGAGATACTAAGTATCACTGGAAGTTAGTTGTGCAATGATACTGAAAACTTGCAACAAAACAAAAATACTAGGTAGATTAGCATTAAGAACAAATTAGGCATGGTCTAATAAAACATGGGATTTAAAATCCGATGTATATGAGTGTTTTGCTTGCATGTATGTTAAGTGTACCCATGTTGTGCAATGCCTGCAGAGGCCAGAAGAGGGTGTGGGAATCCTTGGAACTGGAGTTATGAATGGCTTTTAGCCATCACATGGGTGCCAGAAACTGAATCTGGGTCCTCTAGAAGGACAGCCATCTCCCCAACCCCTAAACACAGGATTTTATACCAAGACAAACCTGAGCAAAGCACTTTATCTTTGTAATGTACATGTCTCTAGTCTTAAAACATGAAATAAAATTTACCTTAATTATAAAAGGTTTTCTTAAAACCTGAATTTAATAGGGTTCAGGGAAGTACATTAAAGTCTAATTAAAACTAATACAAAAATTAGAAACTATTCAAAACCTTAAAGGAAAAAAGTTCATTTCAAGTAGCTTATGTTCTGTAATTATTTCAATCAAGAATTTTTAAA